ATAATAATAAACGGTTGATGTAAGAAATACTGTAATTGATAGAGGCACAATTAAAGCATGAAGAAAATTAGCTCCATTAGAGGTAAGGTGCTGAAGATCTCTGGGGTTAACTGCAGACTTGATGGGTTTTACACGTCATTAACAGAGAGAGGACTGGAAAAAAAATGCAGTATTGCAAGAGTGACTGGCGACAATCCCCTCACCACAATGTTGCTTCAACTGCTCAGTGGTTTGATCTAATGAAACGGACACGGTGGTCTTGGTCAATACTGTGAGTTCATGCCCTTGCGCACCTTTCTGGGTTCAGTGAAAACACATTGTAAAAAAAAACTATTCCTTTATCACATGGATTATAACAAATCAACTTAAATCTGATGCAAGTGATGTCTGACTAAAATATGCATTCCAGAACCTTTTTTACTGACTTGAATACAATCTGTATCAATACATTGTTACGATAATGTAATCATAAAAATATTAAATTAACTATTTTTAATGTTTGTATTCTTTGGACAACAATGCATAGTTTCATCTAAGCAGTAAAGCCGGGTTATTGTTCAGTTCTTGGCAAAGAAGCCTGGGAGATGAAAATAACAGCTAAAAGAAAGGCTTCTCTTACAATTGCAGTAGTGTTTTCAGAAAATGAGGTAACAGCTGAATAATACTCACATGAACCCGGTAATTATATAGAAACATTTGGAAATCATTTGAAATGACAAGACTCTTGACTTCATTACGAGACATAAAAAATTAAAGGAACAAAATACCAAATGCTATTGTCTTGTTTTGATAAAAGAGGAACCACTGACTAATAATCACAAATGCAATGTAACGACTGTATAAAATCAAATGTGTTATTTTTGGAAGTTGAACAATATGCACAACACTCAAATGCTGTGCTTACAAACACTGTATTTCTGGAATTGTACACTTAGGATACCAGAGTAAAACCAAAACCACAAATACATGTTATATTTATTATAAATTTAAGGCAGTTTCCTTTTGTATGGAATGTATGTTGTAAAGATATCAGCTAATACTGTATGGAGAACCTAACGGCAGTGATTATTTATGTGTTTCTTTTATTATGGGACATCACACTAGGGCCTATTGTTACTGAACAAAGCCTGCATGTGGAGAAGATTACATTTGCCAGTTCATGAGAAAATGGAGCTATCCTGCTGGTGTGAGTACACATTATGTGGTCTGGTGTTTTGTGTAGAGCAAACTGAGGCTACATATTTAACTGGGCAAAAGATTTTGAAGGATACTTATTTTTTTAAATAATTAAGGTTCAAGAACTGTATCATTCAAAGGGCCTGTGAATTCTGCAATATTCTTCCTCACACAATGAACAAATTCAGCTGGGGTCCTGGAATTCAAAACACTAATGTTCATTGCTTGTTTATCATCAGTTTTCTAGAATACTCATTCTATAAATTTCTGACCTGCTCACCTTTTTAATAGTCCAAACTAGTAAGACAAGCAAAAAATATCTTCTTATGGTGCTCATTCCCAAAACCTAATCTCCAATGATTATGGGTGGTTTTGATATGCTTGCTGGTTTCAATTTTAAAGGGGAACTGCAATGCGATTTTAATATTTCAGGGTTAGAAATAATCAGCTTGATGAATGCTTTTCAAACCACAATAAAAGTAAAATGTACACAATAACTTATAAAACCTCCGATTTATATTACAAAATGGACTAAATTTCCAGGTATGTGCACCACTTTATTCTGTGATTCAGAGTGAGGCAACAGAACTTCTGGCAATGTGAAGCTGTCTTATTACATTGTAAACAATTAGGCTTACGAATACATCTCTTTCAGTCCAATAGAAATATTGCTCTTGACTTTGAGATGGCTTTGCCAACAAATAAAACTTGTTAACTCTGCATGCAGATCACTTTGGAACATTTATTCGGTGAAATGTCTGTTGCACAACCTGTACTTATTCGCTCGTACATCACATTACATTAGTCATTACAGTGACTAGTGAGCAGGAAGGGCTACTTCATGTCACAATTTATTGGGAACTCTCACTCTCGCCCATGGTGCGACCAGGGGTTTGCAACATGACGATTTACAGTACTTTCTAAAAGTTCATGATTTTGTGCTTAATTCTAAATTGGTAACATTTTTCTATACCTTCAATGAATTTATTTTGTGTTTGAGATATAATAATCAGTCTGAGAAACAGGTACTACAGTTCCCCTTTAACTTGTTTCTGCACTCAGTCCAGAGTTTCATAAATACTCTCCAAGAGTTCTTTTTTCAAAAACCTCAACTTTAAGTTGTCTCTCATCAATTCATTGGTGCCTATTCCACTTGAGACAACAGCTCTAAAAGTTATCTCCAATTAATGACGAAGAAGCAGGTCGAGATGGTTTCCACAATAAGCCTTTCCCTTTCCACCCTTCTGCAATAGTCAATTTTTGCAATGGTTTCATTTCAGCTAACAACTGAATGAAAGCAGTTCTGAAACACAAAAATAATTACTTCGAAATTAGTAGAAGAAAACTTAAAAATAAAAAAACGTTTGGACTAGGCTGAAGTGAAAACCAGAAGAGACAGTGGTCCTTCAGAGGTGGAAGACATTTGGTTGCACCATCAGATTATTTTTGACATTATTTAATCAGTAAAATAAAAACAAAAACAAATCTCTGAAATTTTTTAGTTATTAACCCCCTATGAATCTAATTGCACTGGAGGGATGAAGACCAGTCACACTTTTTCACACTATAAGCCCTGTGGCTCGTCCAGCCATGAGTTAACACTAAACTCAGGTTGTGTGGTTAATGATATGTGCAACCTTGCTGATGCCTAGGAAATCAGAGGGGTAAATCCTAATTAGCTCAAGGCTAGTTCAGAAAAAAAATTCACTGCTCAGACTCAAAACAGCAATATCTCTACTATCAAGTTCACGCCAAATGCTTGCAAGTACCTTTAATAGGTGAGAAACTAGTTCCCGTAGTCAATATCCTTTTTGGCTGAGTTATTGTACACATCAGGCACCACATCAAACCAATACTTCCTTCACACAGATAGAATGTCTCTTGCAGTCTACCAAATGAGAAGAAGTCAAAAAGGACAGCAAAGT